TAAATGCCTCTGAGTCCTCAGCCGAAAGAGCCTTGCGTTAGTTCTACTCCTGCCTTGTATGCCTTTCTCTGCCCAGCCATATCACTTCCTGTGTCCATCTTACCAGTGCTTGGATTAATGGTAAGCATGCTTCCCAAATACTCATAGCAGAGATCTGAGATCACAAATGCTGGTATTAAAGATGTGTGCCACCCTGACTGGCTCTGTTTCTTTTAGACTAGATTAATCTCATGTAATCTAGGGTGGCCTTGAACTCACAGAGATCCAAACGGATGTCTGCCTTTGCCTCCTGAGGGCTAGGATTAAAAATGTGTGCCACCATTGCCTGACCTGCATGGGTAACTGTATGTCTAGCTCTGTTCTCTGATCTTGAGTCAAATTTTATTAGTATGTGACAAAATATCACCATAGAGATTAAAAGAAAGACTATCACATTAAATTTGAATGGACAAATAAACAGAAGGAAAGAGCCAAAAAGAAGGCACAAGAATCAGAAACCCACTCATTTGAATATTCAGGCATCCCACAAAAACAGGAAACTGGAATCCATAATATATAAACAGAATTAGATTTACTCATTTTATTTTATGTGTGAGTGTTTTACCTATTTGTGCATATGTGGAAAAGAGAGCATCATATCTCCTGGAACTAGAAGTATGGATGCTTATGAACCACCATTTATGGCGCAGGAATTGAATCTGAGTCCTCTGTAAGGACAAAAAATCTTCTTTACTCTCCAGCTCCCCTCCCAACACAAGCTATTTTTTTAGTGAATTTTTTTCTCCACTTGGAATATCATATCTTTTTTTCTCCCTCTGTGTGGTTAGAAAAATGTTTATATTTTAACAAGATGTGTGTCACATTATCAAAATGACTTTGATGTGAGGGAACAGTCCTCCAAAAAGAAAAGGCAGGAAGGAAAGCATGGAATCAAACAGCCCCACAGTTAACTGTGTGATTGCAGTTCAGATGACAAAAGACATCGTTCACTGACTCTTCATCCTCGCTAAAATGCATGAAGACCTCTATTTTTGCTATAATTTTAAGATGGAAAAATGTCCCTTTCCCTATGTTGATAGCATTAGTTTTCCTTATATTTGGACCATGATTTCCCAGACCTTTGTCCATGTCCACCATTATTAGTGTAGATTGTCATAGTTAACAGTCAGCCTTTGGCTTCTGTTTTTCTTTGTTTCTTCCTAAATAGACATGTTGCACCTCTCTCCATAGATTTTTTTAAGTCTTTACCCTTTTGTCACTCAGTTCTTTTAAACATTTTTACTATGTCTGGCCATTGATAGTTACACATTCCTTTACTAATGTATAATTCCAACCACTTTTTCATATGA